TACACTTTTATTCTTCATATCTTCTGATCTCTTCTCTAAACACCATTAAGGAACTCAAATGATCAACTGGGAACCCGGATTTAACCCACTTCTTAATTGTCCACTTGAACTTTCATTTGCATTTCTAGGGTCCTTTAATTTAATCTTTTTAATCTTCAATGCCTTTAATCCTCCTAGAAGCCCCCCTAGGAACCCCCCTTCTCTATTTCACACGCTGCTCCTTAATGTCAAGCCCAGCATTATACAGTTATTCAGAGCCACCCTCACCCTTCTCTCACTTGTTTTCCTATCAGGCTCTCCAGGCTGCTGTCATCCAATTCTCCGGACCGTTGTCACTTTCTCAGGGGGGTTCCTCCGGGTATCTCAGTCCTTTCCACTAGAGCTTCAGGCAGGGCATCGACTCATCGATCGTTCGGGGTATCCAGAGCACGGACCAGGGAGAAGCCGGGGAACAGACCGCGCCTCTGCCCGTCTTCCGGACGCCGGCTTCTCCTCCTCCCAGTGCTCCCTTGCGGCTACCCACATGGGTCCGCCTCGTCTCTCCATCTCCCCAGAAACCCGGCACCTCTTCCACACACCGAGGAGAAACGCCAGCCGGGTCCACCCTCGCTCCACAGGGCCACCACCTCACCACCAGATCCTCGGCCACCTCTTACACAGGTGGGTCCCGGGGGGTGGTCACTCAGCTAGGGCATAGAGGATAGGGGAAGCCGGAATCAGAGGTATCGGAGAGCACCTACATCGTGCTCTCCGACGCCGCCATGCACAGGCCCTGCCCCCCACCTCCAAGAGCTGCAGTTTTGGGGTGGCTCTGACCCAATTGTCTAGACATTACAATTTGGCCCATGTGAGAATCACTGAAATTCCTATGCTTGGCCGTCTTTTCTCCTTTCAACACATCACCTTCAAGGACAACATATTCATTTTCTGCCTAATATATCCTACTTTTAGGTGCCATTGTAATAAATTAATCATTGTTATTCACTTCACCTGCCAGTGGTCATAATGTCATGGCTACTAATGTGAAGAAACAACCTCCACAGTGGCGCTGTGAACTCTGAATCAACAATATATACTCATTAAAAAAAAACTTAAAAAAGTCCTTAACATAAGTCCATCAAATCCTGTGAACATCACATTAAGTGCTTCAGTCTTCTTGTCACTTTACATCCCAAAACCAATATCACCAAATGCTCATGAGACAACACTCCCACCTGGATATACACTCACCAGACCCACATGCCTCTCACTCATGGTTGGCATGTATTGCTTGTTGAGCTTCCACTTAAAAAACATTCTCCAATGATACAGTAACTAATGTTCAAAGACTTATTGAATACAATTGAAAAGCCACTCACAAAATAAATAAATTAAAAATACTTGTCATCATAATACTGGGTGGACATCAGATGTGGACATGTGTAATCTCACCACCGTCAGATCTCTCAGACTACGCTCCTGGATCACTTCTGGTTTCCGGCTCTGATGTCACATATGGTCGCCGCACAATCTCACACTGACACGTTTCGTCACTTCTGACCTAGTCATAGTATTTATTTAGTGGTTTAGTGATGTTCTGTCCATTATTGTGAGTAAGAATTTGTATTTAAAGATAAAACAAGACACACAATTTTAGACACCAAGAGAATCCAACTCTAGTTAAATGAGAGATGCCCCACAGCCCACAGTTGCAAGCATTGATCAGCTGTGAGCTACTGAATGATAGAGCAGAAATGCATATAAAATTCAATGCGAGTTGATTTCTACCCATGTTTATTTGTATAAAACCCTAGTTCACATGTATTCACCAGAAAAATGCAGGCTGAAGTTTGCTTCAAGACCGTGATCCCAGTGGCTTGAAAGAATTACATTGTGTTTGGGTTCTTTTTTTCTTATAGAGGATCTTCACCCTAGAAAGAAAAATATTAAAAGTCAGCAGCTGCAAATGCTGTAGCTACTGACTTTTAATAAAAGGACACTTACAGTAGGGATCCAGCGCCGTTCTCACACGCTGGCTGGTTCTTCACAAGTCCTCAGGCCCCCAGCGATATCATGTTTACTAAGGGATGCCATCTGTGACTCATTATGGCTTAACTGCCGACTTCCCACTGCACATGAGCAAGCTGCGTATCCCTGAAGATTTGGGGGAAAAGGTGGGGGCCAAAGCCTAAGGCCTAGGCAATCTGAGCAGAAGTGGGAGCGGGTACCTATCAAAACTATATTGTGCCAAATGTAGAGCAGGGGGGAGGAGGACATAAAGTAAAACTTTCATCTTTAGGGTGAAGTTCTGCTTTAAGAAAAACACTCCAAATTGTGTGCTTGCAATAAGCATTTTTTGTAAGGAAGTAAGCAGCTAATGTTTCTAAAATTCTACTGTAAGTAAAGAAAATGTCGCAAAAACTGTGCCATTATCAGAAATTCCTGTCTGCTAACTGCTGCATGCTTGTAAATTGTAGGATAGTAAAGCAATAATGCTAGGATAAAAAAACACTAAACAGTGCTGCAAATAGGGCCTTGGAGCAAGCAACCGCTTGCAGCTGTGATCACAGTCCCTGTTCCTCCATCCAAAATCGTACAGTTGGGGACATTAAGAGACTGCGATAGCAATTTAGGTACTTGCAAGAATAAAAAAAATAAATGACTAAACATTGGTATGAACAAGCATCCTCCTTCTAATTCAAATTGTTTTATTCAGGTTGTACTTATTTTTTTGATCAATATGTTTTATCTGGGTTGTACTTACGGTATTTTCTTGTTCAATGTTTTATTTGGGTTTTACAGCACCCCCTCTTTATCTATAGTATATCATTATTGTCCTGGGCACAAATGTTTAGCTAGCATTCTGTCAGTTGCCCTTTCTGGAATAATGGATAACCAATAGAATTTACAATATCTGTTTATCATTTAAATGATAATATTAAAAAAAAAATTATATGAACTTGCCACTTACTTAGTAATGCAGATCCCCAGGTACTGTCACTTTCTTATTCTTTATAGGGTGTCCTGATTACTAGGTGCTCTGATAATGCAAATAGGGATTCGTTTCTGTTGTCGCTAACTTGGCTGCCTCTCTAGGGCCTTGTTCTTGTTTAGTGAGGCCATCCATACCAGTCAAGGCAAAGGAGGTAGGAGTTGCTGGCAGTGACCTCAGAAGCTGACTGCTATTTGTATATTACAGTGCCCTGGTAATGGTTGTATGCAGCTTCATTATTAATGCTCTGATAAGCACAATTTCTTAGCATTGTTTACATGATGTATATTTAAACCTACTGCCTATCTTTACAAAATGTATTTCTTAATGTTTGTTTACCCTAAATTACACCTAACCTGCCAAGGCAAGGAATCCCCACCCTTAGTAATATAAGCAACATCTAAATAGTATGTCAGACAATCTCAAAAGGAAAGTACATGATCAGGTTTTACAGGGCTGTTAGTTATAAATAAATTGAGGGTGTTTAACCACTTGCCCTCCAGAGGATTTACCCCCCCCCCCCTTCCTGACCAAGCCTTTTTTTGCGATATGGTGCTGCGTTACTTTAACTGACAATTGCACGATCATGCAACACTACATAAATTACATTTAAAATGTTTTTTTATTTTTTGCGCTATAAACAAAAAAAGACCAACAATTTTGAAAAAAAAAGCAATATTTTTGACTTTTTGTTATTAAACATATCCAGTAAAAAGTGTAAAAAATCTAATTTCGTTATAAATTTAGGTCAAAATGTATTCTGCTACCTCTTTGCTAAAAAAAAATCCCAATACATGTTAATTAATTTATTTATGTGAAAGTTATAGCGTCTACAAATGGCTGTATATATAGTGGAATTTTTTTTTTTTTATATATATACTAGTAATGGAGGGGATCAGCGACTTATAGCAGGACTGTGGCGGGCATTCTGACACTGGTTGGGAACTAACTGCTACTGATATCACAATGACACTAATACAGTGATCAGGAAGGGGTTAACATCTGGGGCGATCAAAGGGTTAACTGTGTGCTGTTTTACTGTGTGTGCTGTGTGTTTTACTAGGGAAACATGCTGCTGTGTATTTCTCAGCTGTGTAGAGAAATACACAGCAGCATGTTCTTGCTCGCAGGAGAGAGACCTGTGTTGTTTACACACAGCTCTTTCCTCTGTCAGTGTTACTCGGCGATCGCCAGGTGCCAGCGAGGAATCTCCGCCCGGGACCCGGTGATTGACATCCATAGCCACCAATGGCGGCACAGGTAGGTTGACGCACGCGCCCCCTTCCCGGAAATGCAAATCATGTGTGTGTATATGTGTGTGTATGTGTATATACAGTATATATATATGTGTGTGTGTGTGTGTGTGTGTGTATGTGTGTGTGATTTTGTGCAGCCCTGCCACCCTGTAACAGTAATTCTACTATAGGGCAGTGGGCAAGCAGTTAATGAGCTATGTATTGTACTGCAGCTGTGTGGAGAATTTAAGTTATTAGCAGCAATAAGATGTACGTATTATAATGTAAAGACCAATAACCCATACAAAATTACACATACTTTACTGCTGAAAACATGTTTCTCTGGGTTAAAGCACAGCATATTTGCACTATCCTTAATGTAGAAGTATAGGCAAGGCTTTTTTTCCATTTTGGATAGGGTAAGGAAGGGTTATAACCCCTGTCAGTTTTTGCCATCTGTGTCCCATTGGGGAGATCCCATAGCCAAAACAGGAAGTGATAGGAAATCCCTGCAAATTAGGGGAATCCATAGGGGCCCCTAGGTCACCAGAGTCGGTGTCCCCGATTGGAATATTTCTCCCTTTTATTGTTCTGGGGACGACTCAAATTTTGTGATTTTCTTTTATTTTCACTTGTGATAACTATAAAAAAGAGAAATAGAGAGGGCGAATCTCCCAAACAGGGGCACAGAGAGCACCTGACAGATATTTTAACCCATCTATCCAAAGTTAGTTATACTTTAATGAATGTGAATGTTGTTTGTAACACTGAAAAACTATGGTATTTTTAAACAGCCTCTGCCGTATATGATTCTACACTGAACTTCAGAAACAATGAAAATCCTACTCTACTTGGCATTTTAAATGGGAAGAAGTATCATGCAGACCTTTATGTAAGGTAAGAATTTTGCAACACAGAACAGTTTGGGTCCAGATAGAGAACTGTTTGTACAGCTAAAAGTAGTGATTGTTGAATGACATTTTTTTATTTTTTTGTTCCAGTTTCAAGGCATTACCCAAGCATGATGATTCTGTGTCACAAAATGTGGCACAAGGCTTTTCACCTAGTGTTTTTTTTTTTTAATACGTTTTTGGAATTGTGTGCCATATTAGCTAGAACTTTGAACCTAATTATGCATAATGTGCTTATGCAACTCCCTCCAGAGGAAAGGAGAAATGTTCCCCCCTGGGATGTTTGACATCATTTGGCCTAGGCCAGAAACCAAGAAGCAGCTAAAGAATTAAAAAAAAAAAATACGGGGGTGTGTGGCCAATGATGGAAGGCTGAATTCGGGCTTTCATATGGGCTTTCTCCAGCTACTCTACACCCATGCTGTTCATGTTGACATATGGCTCTAATCATTCTGACTCTGCTGAGCCGTAGCGCTATTTGCTTTGTACAGCCGCTTCAGAAGCCTGCTCTGCCAAAGACAAGATGGTGCTGGGACGGACTCCGGCCAAACCCCGGCCGTCCTCCCTTGCCTCTACGACCACCCCCACAGGCCCGGATGCTGATACTCAGCCTCCGCTTGTGGACACTCAGTTTGACTTCCTTTCAACTACACCCTCAGCCTCAGGGGGGTCGGCCAGCTCAGAGACTGCAACCCTTCTCTCTGCCTTTCGGGTGGACTTCGAATCCTGGGCATTTAAAATGGAATCTGACTCCACAAAGAACTAGATACTTTGAAACAGCAAGTCTCAGCCTCAAGCACTGCTATCGTGGCCTTGACCCTTACCCAGGAGGATCATGCTGTCCGAATCTGGGCTTTAGAAACAGTGTCAACTACAAATCTCACTCGCATTCGACAACACCAGCTCCAGCACCAGAGGATAGTGAAAACAGGAGCTGCAAAAACCACATGTGGATACAGGGTGTCCCAGAGGTGACTTCAGGTTCAGATCTGAAGAGACAGAGACACTGCTTCACCCATTGAGCTGGACAGAGTTCACAGAGTGGGGGGGGGGGGGGGGGGGTACTGGAGGAGCTCGTTCCAACCACCCAAGAGATGTTCTCTGCTGAGTACATTACTACACCTTGAAAGAGGAAATTATGCGTAAAGCCTGGCGCTTCAGTCCGTTGGACTTTGATAGTTCATTTATCCACCTCTTCCCGGGCCTATCCAGGAACACTTTGTACGTGCAATGGTTGGTCCGACCCTCATTCATCGAGCAGGAGCCACCTATACTTGAATCCACCCATTCAGTATAAAGGTCACCTGAGGAGATCTTAAATTTGTCTTCTCCGATCCGGATCAATTACCAGAGTTTTTCCTTTTTCTTGACCAAGACCCTGTTGATGTTCCCAATTGGCTGGACCCTCCAGATGATCGTCGTCGATGATATCGCTGGTTCAGCTACTCTTCCACAACGCTGCAGGCACTCGAGATCTTGATTCCATTCCACTGATGCTGCACCTCATCAACCCGTGTCACCACAGGACTGACCTGACTCCCCACTGTGAGCTGTGCAATCTATTTCTTTTTAAAGCAGAGTGTCTTATTTGGGAAATATGCCTATTCCTGAATCGAGTCCTTCGTATGCTGTGTGACTTATATAGCTGGGGCATTAGGAGGGCTTTGTTTATTGTTACTCTTCTGATCCTGCTGTGAGCCCCACTATTGATACTGCACTCTACTCCCTGTTACTACAATACCCCAAGGCTTTACCGTATACAGTAGCCTTACTCCCTAGCCTTTCAGAGAGTTGGCCACCTTGGTGATTCTCTCCCAGAGTGCCTCCTATTGCCCAAAATATTTAACCCTTACATGCAGATTGCTACTCAACATACAACCTTTGTACCCTTCTCAGCTGGAGTCTCTGAGCCTCCCTTTTGGATGTGCACCTCTTTCCTTAAGGCTGCTTATTAGTTTCCATATGCTAAATTAGTTGAGTTTCCTAAATGGTAGTTCACTCGACACTGTTGTGGGGGTCTCGCCATTCCCTCATTAGTGTCTTACTGTTTTATATTATTTCTATACATCGCCTGCTCTATCTCTAAGTAGAGCGATGAGCCTCCCATTGGGCCATGCAGGTCATTTACTGTGCCCTGTCGATAATGCCTTACTTATGTTTGATCATGCCACACTTTTACAGGATTTGATGCTATGTGCCTTACATAACTTTTTTTGGAATGCTGGCATTTCAGTACGGGTATTTCTGAGTTACGTTATTCATGCCTAGTATGTTGTCAGGAACACATCTCAGACCTTCCCTGACTCAACTTCTCTCCCTCAAAAGGATAGACACGGCGGTGCCTACAATGTGATATTTCATGCAGCGTCCTGTGCTACAGGAGCTTTAGATACACTGGTGACATCTCTTATTGAGTGTCTACTTGTCTTCCACTACCTCCTCCTACCTTCTCTCTCTTCTCTTCAGCTTCTGTAGCTTGGTTCATTCCTCATTCTTTCTTTCCCTCTTCTCCCCTCTCTCTTCCTTCTCCCCTCCCTTACCTTTCCGTGTCTTTTTCTTGTTTCACCATGGCTCAAACACTGGTTTCTTGCCCAAAGTTGAAACTCTGTACCTATAACATAAATAGCCTCAAAATTGCATCTAAGCATGGATAAATACTGTACCAATTGCATAAACAGCAGGTTAATGTGCTCTTGCTACAATAGACACATTTTAAAACTGACTCTACCCTTTCCTGCTCCAACAGGTACTTGAACAGATGGTTCCACAGTGCCAATCCTATACAGAAAGCCAAGGGTGTCTCTATCGCTTTCTTTAAAACGCTCCCCATTGAGATATTGGACCACCTATCTGATACACAGGGGAGATATGTCTTCGTGAAATTCTCTCTGTGGGGTACTAAATCCACAGTTGCCAACTTTTATCTCCCTAATGTCAATCAAATCTCAACTGCTATATGTTATTTGAAGGTGCTATCCGACTTCATGGAAGGGACATTTATCTTAGAAGGGGATCTCAATCTCACCCTTGATCCGCTTCTAGTTTCCTCAACCGTGAAATCTTCAATCTTCCTTCCTAAGTTATGGGCTCTTGAACGTGTACTATATGATATGCACCTGATCGACGTGTCCAGTCCACCTTTGCTATGGATGAACTGATTACTTTTTAGCAGGCCACAGCTGTTTAGACGCCTGAGTCACCTGAGTGCGATATGGACTATAGTATGGTCTGACCACTGCCCAGTCTACCTGGCCTTTTTCGCCACCCTCTGCTCCAGAGAGAGTGGACATGGCACCTGAGTTACACACTATTAGCGAATGAGGACTATAGCCTGTATCTCAGAGACTATCTCTAATTTTCTGGCAGATCATGCCACTGATACCACTTCTCTTCCCTTTCATTAGGTGGCCTTAAAATAAGTCTTGTGCTGCACCTTCATTCAACCGGGTGTACGCTTGAAAAAAGAGTGCTCTTCCTCCATTGCCGCAGCGGTGCAAAAACTTTGAACTCTAAAAACTGAACACAAAAGATCTGCAACAACGGAAACCCTCATGGAAGTGGCACTGGCTCAATCCCAATTTCAGAAACTATATGAGGCCTCCGCCTACACCTTTGCAGATAAACTAGCCCTTCATCAATATAAATTTAAAGAAAAATGCAGGTGATTGCTAGGCCTCTCTCTGCATTCAAAACATTCCTCCACCTTCATCTCTCACATCCAAGGGCCAAATGGGGATATGCTGTCTGTGCCCTCTGCGATTGCATAAGCCTTTCTGAATTGCTACCACTCCCTCTATAGTATCCCACCTCCTCACTTGTCGCATCCTATTACCACTCTAGAGGACGAGAAGCAGTCTTATATAACAGAAAATGCCCTTCCTATGTTAGATGCTGATACTCTTGAGGAATGCAAGATGGCCCTCTCAGAAGATCAAGTCGCTAAGCCATCTCTGGCGCCAGAGGGCTCAGCATTTCGCATTTACCCCCGCAAACGTTGAAGGCACACGTCTCAGTCATCCCGAAACCAGATAAAGATACCTCCTTGTGTGCAAACTACAAGCCCATCTCTTTGATTGGAGTGGATCTCAAAATTTTTACCAAAGTGTTGGCCAATAGATTGCACCATATAATTCACTTGGACCAGGTTGGTTTTGTAAGTGGACAAGAAGCAAGGGACAACACTCTAAAAAAGCTTCTCTTTGCTGACTATGCCCATACCCATGTCTTTTGATGATTTTTTTTTTTAATTTAAATATTTATTTATTTTCAAAATAATATACACATTTCTTCATCAATTTCACATACAAAAAAAAAAAACATTTTCCAAACCCTTAATTACTTTTTCAACCCCTAATTTATTCCCTCTACCACCCCCGAACCCCCACCAGAAACCCACCCCGCCCCCTTCAATACCTCCATTTTCACAATTAATAAACTCTCCCTCTCTGCATACTTCTAATGACTTTTCCCTATATAAAATATACAAGAACGTCCTCCTTATCCTCAGATATTACTTCGTAGGTCTTGCTACAAAATCTTCCCATTTTTCTCCACTTCTTAAAAAATAACCCCATCTTGTCTACTTGCATGTAATATAATTTCTCCATCTTACATATCTGATTTGTTCTTTCTACCCAATCCTCCTCTTTTGGTATCTCTGGTCTATGCCAAAACCTAGGAATCAGACCTTTAGCCGCGTTCAAGTAATGCCATACACCAGAGTCTTTATATCTATTTACTGGTAGATCTGTACTATGCAATAGACACACCTCAGGGTTCAATCCTATTTTTATCCCAGTGATTATCGAAATTAATTGGACTATTTTCTCCCAGAAGGTTTGTATCATTGGGCACTCCCACCATAGATGATATAAGGTACCTATTCTTCCACATCCCCTCCAACACTCTAAAACCTTTTCCCCATTCATCTTGTGTTCCACGTTTGGTGCAATGTGGCATCTCGATAAACATTTATAATTTACCTCC